GTCCCTTTCCTTCCCACGCTATTAGTTTTTATTTTCTTTAGAGTTTAGACTTGGTTCCTTAGCTTTACATATCTTGAAATTTTTGGCACGTTGTGTTCAGTATGTGTCACATTCAGTTGAGAATTTGGAACCACAGCCCCTCTCTTAATGGGTATAAATGAAAATGTACGTGTGGGAAAGAATCAGACAGAGACAGAGAAATAGATAGACTTTGGCAGAGAGAGGGCGTGTAAAGAAGAGCAAATTGTGTGTGTGTGTGTGTGAGAGAGAGAGAACAAATGAGGTAGAGAGCAAACTGCACATTTTATCAGACAAATATGAAAAAAATTGATACTATTTTGTAGGTACTAGAGAACTAATTTTACAAGAGTTTAAATGTTTGAACTACTGCAGAACAATATTCTACTTTGTGTCGTGTGTGTGAATGGCTCACCATATATTTTACTAAGACTCCTTCAGTTATGCCTAATACTTTGTGAATAAAGGGTCTTTGGATCACTCCTTTAATAAAAGCAGGGAAATCATTGCTTACACATAACTCTAAAGTAATGTCAAGTACAGCATTTATAATTCCTTTTACATATGGCTGAGAAGTTTATTTAACCTTTGATTAACTGCTCTATAACCTGGCTCACTGGGGTAAAATCATTTTCTAGAATGGTCAATTAACATTTATGTACGGTTGGAGCAAAGGGCACAGAGGAATGTCAGAAGGAAAAAAAGACCCACATGACATATGGCAGGTCCTGGCAGGTCCTCCTCAGAAATGTCACTCTTATCAATCTTCTCATTTCCATTCCTAGAACCACCAGCACACCATGGTCTAATTCCTAAGTAACTCATGTCTGAATTATTAAAATGACCTCCAAAGACTTTTCACAACTTCTAATTTCTTTCCCTCCAAGCTTTCCTTGGAATTAAACTTAACTAAAAAATCACTCCCTTCCCATGCTTAGATGTCTTCAGCAAATTCCATGATCTAGAGGTTATCTACTAGGTTTGTCTCCTAGAATCCCTATGCCACTGTCCCTGCCCAGTATCTGCTCTGTGTCCAACTTTGTCATCTCTCCTCTTACTCTTTTCCTGATACATTCTCTCAATCAGCCCAACTGGTTACTTTTTTGTTCCAAGAATTCTTTTCTATGTCTGGGTTTCCTCCCTTGCCCAGGAGCCATGTTTCTCTCCAGTGGCCCAATGTCACTATTCCCATCTTTTTAAATTTAGCTCAGGTTCCCTAATGGTACCATCCTGAGTCTTACTTCCCTCCTCTCCTAGCTTCTATGGTGACAGAGTTTAGTGACTGCATATGTTTCCTTGTAATACTTGTTCCACACGCATTTTGTGTCACCCAACTATGCCTTCAGATTGTGTATGTGTGTGTGTTTCCCAATGCTTAAAACAATTCTGACTATAAAGTGTTTACTTATTCACTCAGTGCCATATTCCACACGTATTTGTTAAGTGCCTTCTTTAGCCAAGTAGATGCTCAATAATTAATTGAGTGAAAAATGTACAAATGGGGAGCAGAGAAATTATAAAGTAAAAACATTCCATTCATTTATCCACTGGTACAATCAGTAACTATTGATAGTTTAATTACCATGGGCTCAGTGCTGTATATGGTGATGCTTGGGTCATGAAAGGGTTAAACAAGAATGGCCTCTGTTGTTTCATGACTTTTCATTTAATGTTGACAGTATTCACCTTGAATAAAAGTGAAGAGGTAATATCTGAAACACATTGAGAATAGACCTTTCGGATAAAAGGTAAAGAGAAAGGAAAGAATTAATAAAGAATGGGGCTCCAGAGAAAGTCCCTTGGAGGTCTTCACACTTGAACTGGTCCTTGAAATTTGGAGTTTTGATTTCAATATAAATATATCTGAATATATTGTACTATAGGAATGCATGATAAGGAGCATGGGTCTAGGAGTAAAGGAGCTAGAAGTATGCTAAGATAGGTTAGGACCATGCCCACAGACAGGGTGGAGGTGGAGAAAGGAACACGATGAATAGTAGAGTCAGGGGAGTTGACTTTAGGGGAGTGAAATGGAAAAAAAATGCGTGAAGTTCCTAGCAAGGCCCCTAACCCAAAGTAGGTGCTCATAAATACCAGTATTTCCCCCTTTCCTGTATCATCTAGCTCCTGAGAAATTAATTATGTAGTCCCTCCAGCCATGATGTGATTTTTACTCATTTCATTTTCTCAGATGATTAATAACCTTTCTGTGGGTGTCGTGTTTATCACTCACCTAACTTTTTCATAAATACTAAGAATATTCTTAAGAGATGAGCAGTCTTACCTCATAACTATATCAAGAAATCTAACTGATAATTCTATCTGAAATACGTGCATATACTACCTCTATCTCTATCATTATCTATTATCTATCAACATATACGTATATGTTCTATCTCTATATATCTACATATAAAAATATGCATATGTGTACATATGCACACATATATGCATCTATACATATATGTATGTGTGTGTGTGTATATATATATAATATATATCCTAAAGGGTCTCAAATCCTGGGCACCATGCATTTCTTAAGCCATAACTGCTGCCCTTGTCCATGTGCCATTAAAAGTGCATAGGAGTATCAGGAGATGTCCCATGGAACCACCTAGGTGCCATGTGAATTTTCCCCGCCCCCATGTGTAACAGCGGCTCTTGCCCTTCCTGATGATTAGGGTCAATTATCCCTGCCAGGATGGTCAATTTTCCTTCCTGCCTGTATTCCAGTTTAAGGAGGCTGAAGGGAACCGGTACCACTGGAGCTGAATTTTCCACGGGATGTTTCCTGTGTCCCCAGGAGCATGTGCTTCACTCTGTGGGAACCACAGCCTCTGAGGGTCCTAGGAGCCTGTGATTACCTTGTACTTCATTCTTAGCAGGGGAGGGGCAAGGTGACTACTGTGTCCTTTATTTTGTCAGGTGTGTCCCTCCATGCCCCAAATATTAGACCTCTAAAAACCTTCTCTAATGTAGGTGGCCCCTGAATCTGCATAGAGTTTATCTCCCACCATGGCCTCCAGTATATTTACCATTTCTTGCTGATCTGTTCCAAATAGCAGGATGTAATCAATAAACCAGAGAAACTGATGTTCTTTGAATTGTCTAGATAGTGTAAGTTCTTTTTGACCAGATTTTAACAGAAGGGCAAAACCATAAATGTGTACTGTTGTCCATACATGAAAGAGAGCACTTTCTATTCTTCTATTAATAGGGATGGAAAAGAACACATTTGCTAGATCAATGGCTACATGCCATGCATCTTAACATCTCTCAGGGACACTGTGGCAGAGTCCACAGTCCATACTGACTGCTTTGGCTTTTATATGAGTTTTCTTTTTATATTTTCTACAGGGTAATTGCCAAGCTTTCTTTTTAACCTTGTTATATATAGGAACATTTTAATAAATGTTCTCATAGTTTCTCCAGTGTTTCTGTGTATTGATAACAGATCAAGAGTCCATAAAGTTTGAGTCGACCATGTTGCTAAAATCAGAATGAAGAACATTTTTCATAGAACTTAGCTCTGAAAGAAGGAGGCAAGATATAGCAGCTCTATAGGGTCACACAGAGGGAATGAGGTGTGTATGCACTTGTGTGCGTGTGTGCCTGACTCTCCTGTTAGATATAGGAAAGCGTTATATTTTATCATCTTCAAGGGGGAAGTTGTTAGAAGGGAAGAGGCTGAAAGTTCAGAACACAGTCATCACCTAACTGAAAGAGGCCCTGGGAATGGAAATGGCCCTGAAGGGACATCAGTAGGCTCAGAGATGGGAAATGAAAACACATAAAAACCTCAGGGATGCTTAGGTGAAATTGACCATCATCCTGTAGATCCAAGACATTAAAATACCAAGGTTTTTTTTTCCATTTTGTTTTGTGTTATATATTGTTTTGAAATAAGAGGGAAAACAGAATTTTGAAAATCTTGTAATTGTTAAGGAGTTATCTTCTAATATTAATGTTAATATCAGTTTTTTTTTTAGGGAAAGGGCTTGTGAAGAGCTCTTATATCTGTTAAGAATTGGGTATGAAATGAAAAATACTTTGTATCTTGTTATCATTACATAGAAAATAGGTTTATCTAAGTAAAATCCAATGACTTTCTTACTATTAGAATTGCCTTGGGGCTGATCTCAAGTTAATATATTCATTTTGTCTCCTTTTTGTCATAAAATCATGTGGTTCATTTACTAGCAAAAACGTGGTTATTCAGGAGATATTTTTTTCTACAAAGTGTTTTAAGGAAGTTCAAAATTGTTAGGACTTGTGTATGTTGATTTGTTAGTAATCCCCTAACTTTAATTTAAGAAATTGAATATTTGGGTGGATGGGGGTAGCACAATAGACAAAATCTTGTAGTAGAAGGATCTCTGCTAGATAATCTTTTATTTCTAAATTCTACTTTTCCATTTGCCAATGAAATGTGAATGACTGTTTAACACATTTACCTTGTTTGATGCAGTAGTAATTTTTCTTTCGACTTTGGGGAAGTTCAGATTCTATATATTATCATAACTAAATTCAAGGAACATTTATTTAAAAACTTACAATGCCCGGTGCTATGAGAATATCAATGTAAAGAAGACAGTGTCTATTTTCAATACTACAATGTAATAATGGATCAATCAAAATATATGTAAGTGGATGGAATGATGAGTAGGTTAATCGGGAATTATAAGTCAAGGCAGGCTTCTAGGAAGAGCTTGTATCTGAGCTTGCGTTTAAATAGCTGATTGGTAACTATGGTCATGTAAAAAATATAAAATTAAGAAAATCAATCTTCTTTATAGCTCACAAGGTGTTTCCAATTTTTAAGATGTAGCATTGATATACATGAGCTCAGTGCTTAGCAGCGCAGGTCTTTACATAGAGCATGCCCTAAGCAGCCCTATGACATTACAGAAAGTGTTCTAAACCACACGTTGCCTGCCAGCCTTAGAAGGACTAGAGGAAATGTCTTTCTTTACCTCCACCAGAAGCCCGGTCCTGGTTTTCCAGTGCAACTACCGCCACGTGATTTGCTTAGACTGTTTCCACCTGTACTGTGTGACGAGACTCAATGATCGGCAGTTTGTCCACGACCGTCAGCTTGGTTACTCTCTACCTTGTGTGGGTAAGTCTAGCACTTTTCCCTCCATTTCTAATTCTGATTAAGAACAGAAAGAGGAAAATTACTGAAATAAAACTATCTTAGATATACCCATTCCTACTGAGGGGCTGAAAATTCAGACATCTGTTTGAACATCGCTAGGCAAGAAAATTAAAGCAAGATTAGTTTATGCAAGCAGGGGGCATTTATTTCTAGAGCCATCACTTCCTTTTTTAATTTTATTTTATATTGGAGTATAGTTGATTAAAAACGTGTCAGTTTCAGGTGTACACCACAGTGATTCAGTTATATATACATGTATCTATTCTTTTTCAAATTCTTTCCACATTTAGGTTATTACAGAATATTGAGCAGAGTTCCCTGTGCTTGTAGGTCCTTGTGCTCGTTCCCTTAGCAGAGTAGGTGCTTGTTGGTTATCTATTTTAAATATAGCAGTGTGTAAATGTCAATCCCACACTCCCAATTTATCACTTTCTTTTAATGACAAAGTCCATATCTAACCACAAGTGATGGATACTCTTGCAATGGAACCCACTGCTTGAATCCACTTGTTCACTTTTCTGACCGTGGGGTTTGCATGAAGCTGTAAACGGGAGACTTACTGGTAAATAAGATTTGAATGTACTTGGTGGTTGTATTTCTACTTGGGCATAGGCCAAAGGATATTTTGATGCTCACAAACTAGAATGAATTATTCGGCTAGTGTGGCGTGGGTACGATGTGAAGTACGTATCTATCTTGCGCAGCCCTGTTCGAGATTGTTCTTCCTCACTTCGTGGTAAATGCATTATTATTATTAGCCCTCACACTTCCCCAGATCCATACAAAACAGCCCTTTCCCCAAAATTCATTATTTAATGTCTCCAGAGCCTGGGAAGCAAACCCTTCATTAGTGTTTGAATAGTGACGTTATGAGAAAAAAAACTGAGATCAGTCTTCTGGGACTATTAACTATATATCAAAAAATAGAGTCTGTGTGTAGAATTAGCGAACTATTTTTCCAATAACACTGGCCCCGCAGAAGCCAGAAAAGAGCAGCATAAAGCATTTATTTCTATTGCTGTGTGACTCACATACTAAATGTCTTGCTAACAAAGTGTCCATATAAGTTCACCATTTCTGTATAGAAGTCTGATACCTCTTACCCCCAAAACATATGTAATAAGATGTTCTTTTTTCCAAACCTAGTCTTTCAAACCTGTCTCAACCACCTTAAGCTAAACGCCTTCAAAGCTCAATTTTAGACATAATGTATTCTTCAAGGTGTGACTAGTCAACAGTGAACCAACATTTTCCATTCGCATAATTTTTATGATGAACAATTAAAACTGGTTCAAAACACCTTTCATATACAAGCTCTGCTTTCTTTGTGTGAGCTCCTCATTTGTCCAGAAATTTTGTTATGCTTTGAAAGAGTGGGATGCTGAATTTTATTTCCCTGAGAGTAAAAAAATAAGCAATGATTAGAGCCGTTACTGAGTACTTACCGTATATAAGGTACCAACCACTGGGATGCTTACATACGTACATCCATTTAATCCCCACAAAGCCCTGTCGGAATGGATGTTGTCGTTCTTCCCATTGTATGGATGAAGTGTTTGAGGCTCACAGAATTTAATTAAACTGCACATGGTATTACAGCCGGTAAGTAACAGCTGGTATTCAGAGCCAGCTAGTGATGGCTCTAGAACTTGGAGTCCTAACCACTATATGAGTAGATTAGCCTGTAAACAAAAAAGTACTATACCTCTAAAAGTTATGTGGAAAGGAAGTTCAAGGGAAGAGTATCTCCAATTTGGGGGCACTTTTTCCATATTTCAACCAGCAGCAAACTTCAAAAGCAGGAATTATTTGTATTTTTCAGAGGAAGAAGTAAAGCCTCAGTAGGACTGAGTACCCAGCATCACAGAGTCAGGAAGGGTAGAGCTGAGACTTCAACCCAGGTGTGGTTGCTCCAGAGCTCTGTGTTCCCCCCACCCTCCCATCCCACTTCTCTCTGGGCAGGGCTCTCAACCGCAATGCACATTTCAATAACATGGCAGTTTTTAAAAGTCCCAATGCCTAGGCCATGCCTCTGGGGGTGGCCCTCAGTATTTGTTAAAGGCCCCAGGTCTGAAAGTTTGAGCACTACTTCCGGGGTGAACATTCTACAGGCAATAGGTATTTTCCATGGGAGACTGTAGCACAAGCGAGCGCGAAAATACTCCCTCTCCCCTTATCTATTTTGTCCACGAGTGATCTGACTTGCTAACCAGCATAGGTTTTTCCATAAACGTTGATGGATTTGAAAAAAAGATGGGCAAACACGGCCAAAATGGCCTCTTTCCAGAGCCTCTAACAAACTCTTGCATGAAGTTAAGGGCTTTGGGAAAAACTTCATAATTATTTTGAAATATTGGCTGTCTTTTTGCTCTACCTACTGTTATCACATCCTATGCTAGGGATTAATTTGAAACGCCAGAGCATTTTGTGTATCTTCTCTTAGCACTGAGTATCACTTACCCACCCCAGTGGAGCCTCAGGGATTTAGGTAGATTTACCTTAGAGTGTAGCTAAAATAAAAATAAAATGTATATGATGACGACTATGCAAAATGTGTTTAGTCCATTAAGAGTCCTGGTAACACAGATTTCCTATAGCAATGGGGTGTCCGAGGGAATAGTTCCCACCTTCCCTATAATATGCTGTTGGCATTGCCACTGGTGCCATCCAAGTGCATCCCCGCCTTCAGTGCTTCACTTTTTTTTTAACACTTCTCCTCCCAGGTCACTTTTCATGTAATTCCCATTTTCATATAACATAGAAAAACCATTTCCTTTCTATGGAATAAGTCCACTCACCAGCTACAGTCCAGTAGTGTCCCAAGTGTCTTAGTCGGCAATATTAACTACGAGGCAGATAGCTCTGGCCCTTTTGAGAAACAGAGATATTCTTGATGCCTGGAGAGTCAAGAAGGCTGCTTTCTAGTCAGCTTTTCAGGGAGCTAGGCATAAAACCCAACATAAACGATCATTTTGGCTTTAGAACAATGCTTTCCCAAATACACACAAATAATCCAAGTCCATATAATTCCTAAAACCACACTGAAAAGTAGGAAATATATTAAAAAATAGATCACCAAAGAAGATGTGCAAATGGCCAGTATACTTATTGAAAGCTCAGTGTAATTAGTTTCTAAAGAATAGCTAATTTTAAAGCATAAAATATAATGTGATAGACATATATTCAAAAGAGGTAAAAACATAAATTTAAATATTTCTGAAAAGCAATTTGGCAATTCATATTATTAGCTTTAAAATAGTAACAACCTGCTTAGAAGCCTGTCCATACACACATTCTCTATGTGTCGGTCTCTGTCTGTGAAATACACAGCCTATTCTCTTCACGGCTCCTAGATCTTGAAAAATTGTGACAGTCACCATGAAAGTGGCAGCAGCAGGATTCAGGCAGCTGAAGGGCTTCCAGTCCAAAGTCAATGTTCTTTCTACCCCAAAATTATTTGAAATGAAATCTAACTTCCTAATTTTCTGAGGGTAATGCTAAACTTTTTGTCTTATTTTTGGGGTGGTTTAGCAATTTTGGTAGTTTTGCTGTGGTTTGGACGTATGAGGCAGTGTAAAGTCAGGGTAGTAACTTAACTTCTCTAGCAAAAGCAACACTGAAATCACAGAAGCAGGGGTGATTTTCACCCATCCATGCTCCGATGCGGCTTGGCTCTGCGGCCTCTGCCGCACCCCATCATTCAGGGACTCAGACTCAGCCTTCTGTTACCTAGTGGTTTTGCCATCCTCAGTGACCTCGGAGTCCCCACTGGGTCCTCTTCACCCAGGCCGACCGGACCAGGAAGCCAGAGCAGGGGCATCATGGAGGGGCATCATGGAGGGGCAGGGGGGTTGAGACCGAGCCTGGAAACGGAGCCCATCACTTCTTCCCACATTCCGTATTCCGGAACTCATCCCCGCAGCCCCTCCCACCCGCACAGGGTGTGGGCAGGGGGACCGGCAGAGGGGGCTGTGGTCTGGCTGTGTACCCGCAAGGGAGCCGACAGGCCTGCAGGCGCACAGCCCTCTCTCACGCTGCGCAGAGGAGGATGGATGGGAAATTTACTGAATGTATTTTTAGCTCTCCTCCCCCCACCCGCCTGCGATCGGAACAACACTCCATCAAGTATCTTCATTATAAGGAGTGACTTGTGCACAGACAAGGACCAGAAAAAGAGCTGTAGGACAGAATTGATGGTGTCCAGGAGCTCGTTCTAGCTAGATCAACGGGCTTTGTCTGTGCACTCACCTGTTTGGCCTTGGAAATGCTGCCTTTGTGGAATCCGGCTTCACAGGGGACAAAGGAATTGAACATTTGTTTGATGCTCTCGTGTGTGTCTTTAGCGTTTTACAAACGAAGTGACTATGCGTCTGTTTGAAGTGGTACCAGCAGCAGCGCTGCTCTGTTTATCTTTCGGAGGAGCCCATGTCCCAGTAAACTGCGCCCCTGATTCTTACTTTGCCTGGGTTTCTACCTTCCAAACTGCCTTTCAGCTTCTCTTGCATCTTATTAAGTAGTTAAAAATGCAATAACATTTTAAATAGCAGAAGTAAGGCGGGCATACCTTGAATAGCTAGTGGAGAAGGCAAAAATAATTTCTTTCCACCTACTTCTGCCCTGAACTCTTAAGAAGAGCATTCTACCTTTGTTTTATAAGGGCGAAAGCAAACCAGTTTTAAGTATAAATTTATTACTTATCCAAAGAGTTCAGGAAAGATGCTTGTAAGTCCCTAAGGCAGCTCCAAGAGTTGTTCAAAACAGCTGTCTTTAGGCTTTCTTCTTCTTTTTATTAAAATGTACGTTACCAAATTCCTCTCCCTGGCCTTCTTGGCAGCCAGCGTGATTTTGGAGTCTGTACACTTGGCATTGTCAGTAGAGAGGGTGGAAGGATTATCATCATAGTCAATAGAATATTAATTGACCTGTAAGTGTATCATTTTAAATGGCTTGATGCATTCCTA